TTTTTTTTAATAATAGACTTGAATAGGTAGATAGATTCCTACGTTGGTGAAACAAGTACACTATTCGATTTGAGGTCTGGTGAACTTCCGGGATGTGTTAATCGAAATCTGCCTTTTTGCTATGGTTATCTGAGGGCTTCTTCTCTCTATTCTGGATGTTGATTGTTTAAGTGGTTGGAAAGATATTTGTAACATTGGGATGACGGGAGATTAAATAAAGTAATGCACCTAGTGCTTTGACAGGTAGAGCATAGATATAGCTCCAGTTTAGAGATATTAGTTTACATACCTCTCAATCACTCCTGGTTCCCTAATGTAGGTGATGACTTCAGGAAAGGTAAATCAAGCTGCCAAATCCATCAAATAATCATGCACTCTTGTATATTTCCAGGTGCTATATAACACAGACTGCCATAGGAGAGCTTGAGAATTGTCAACCATTCGTATACATAATTGGTCGATGACAAGAGACGTTTATCTCTCATGCTAGTGCAGACAGCTAGGCAGGCAATGCGAGGTATCGACCCTTTTCTTGGGGGTTGGACCTTTAACCAACCCCACCAATTTCGTAGATACTAATGGCCGCCTCGTTACAGCCGGCACGGCCAGCCTAATCCGAATAATACTCTTCGTCATCGTCATCATCGTCGTCATCTTCGTCATCGTCGTCATCTTCGTCATCTTCGTCATCTTCATCATCCTCATCATCCTCTTCGACGGTACCAAACTCGACGCTTTTGATGACCCCAACACCGACAGTGCCATCCATGTCACGGACGACGAAACGACCAAGACAGGGGTTCTTGCTGTAGGGCTCAACGCACATCGGCTTGGTGGGGACCAACTTGACTAGAGCGGCCTCACCCGTCCTGATAGAGCTGGGCGAGTGCTCGATCGACCGGCCAGTACGGCGGTCCATCTTGTCCATAATCTCTGAGAACCTACATGGAATATGGAAAGAATGACAGTGCACGGTAAAGATATAGCCAGCACTGATCTCGTCAGGGTAGTCCAGAACGATAACCTGGGCATTGAAGGAGGCAACACTCGCCGGGGGGTCGTTGTCAATATCACCAGCGACATAGCCGGGGCGGATCTCCCCCTCACCCTCTGTGATTGTGATATGAACGCTAACATGTTCACCTGCAGTACCTTGATTGACCTCCTCGTCATCAATCTCAATATATTCCACGTTAACGACGGTATCGGTCGGGGCAATGGTTAGCACCATGCCAGGGTATATAGTCCCAGTCACGATACGGCCGGTCAGCACAGTATCGGTCTCTGTCTCTTGAACCTCCCGGATGGGTAGACGTAAGGGCTTATCAGTGGCAGTGGAGTTGGGCATTGGTTCCAGTGCGTCGATGGCATCAAGCAAGGTTTTACCCTTTACAACGCCACCCCTGTTCTCTTTTGTCCAGCCCTTAAACCAGGGCATATATTCGGACTCCTCCAGCATATTATCACCATATAAGCCAGAGATAGGGACAAAGGTTGTTGCCTTAGGATTGTAGCCGACCTTTTTCGCGAAACCGGAGGTCTCCTTGATAATCTCATTAAAGCGCTCCTCGCTCCATCTAGTAGTATCCATCTTATTCACGGCCACAATAAGCTGGCGGACCCCTAGGGTGAATGCATGTAGAAGGTGTTCGCGAGTTTGGCCACCTTTTTCCACACCGGTCTCAAACGCACCAGTGTCCGCAGAAATGACGAGGATCGCGCAGTCGGCCTGCGAGGCACCGGTAATCGTATTCTTTATATAGTCACGATGACCAGGAGCGTCTACCACGGCAGTAAGAATCTAATAAGCCCTCAGATCCGGGTGGTCGCTTACCAATGACGGTGACTATATATTTAGGCGTCTCGAATTTGCAGAGTGAAATGTCCATAGTAATTCCACGCTCACGTTCAGCTTGCAACTTATCAAGAACCCACGCGTACTTGAACGAGGCCTTGCCCATACCAGCGGCTTCCTGAGGGGGATGGTTATCATCTCGCCTAGCATTCGTACACAAGCGATCTGGAGACAAGGAAAATCATACTTGCTCGTACTCCCGGATGGTATTCCTTGTGACTGCACCGCACTTGTACATCAGGTGACCTGCATCGGGAATAATGAGTATGCTTGCTATACGGCAGATGGAGCGGCACGGGCAGTCTGACATACCAGCGGTGGTGGACTTGCCATGATCGAGGTGGCCGATAACGACGACGGAGATTTGAGCTTTTTCCTTACTGCAGGTGGGGAATGGCTTAGCAACAGATACAAGATGAAGTAAAAGCTGAGAGGGTGACTTACGGCATCTTGACGCTCAAGAGGGATTCTTGTAGCGCTCTGGGAGATACAAACAGATTCTTGAGAGGGTGCTTGTTCCTGTATTAACTACGACAGAGCGTGTAGAGGTGCAAGAGCAAGAATGACAGCCAGGATAGATAAAAGATAGAAGAAAAATTGTAAGAGCGGGGGAAATCTCGAGGGCAACACCCTAGTGGTGTTGATCTCGACATTTGCGGAGTATGATGATGGGCTGAAAAGGAAGTGGGACTGTATAGGTAGATAGATGGCTGATCAATCCGATACGAAGAAGATCTTCTCCCAATTCTGCGGCTGAGCGCCTCCACTCCTCCCGAATAAGGCTTCATCATGTTGCTCAGTACTTGTGGAATCCAATGCTAGACATCAGAAGACGAGCGTAGCGAGCTGAATGGTGGGGCCAGTCGAACCAGTAGACTTGAGCCAGAAGTAAATAAAAAATAGTCATTCACAGCTCAGCGCAAACCCACTGACACGCTATCTACAATAACATATCCTGAATCACGGCATGCTTAACTGGCTACAGCAGCAAACAAACCGCTGCTATCCAGATCAGTTCTAGATTCATCATACAGTCATAGTTTAGAGTCATCTTTCACCATGTTTTGATATGCTCTCATGATGATTATACACTCTGTCTATTGAAGGGGGTGCGGTTATACAAGGTAAATCACGATGATATATATATATTCTTCGGGAGAGATGTACAACACAACAAATTGGATTGATCGTGCTTCTTTTGAGAATGATTTCTCGTTTTCACCCATTGCGGAGGCCAGTCTCTTAGGGTTAGTATAATTACCATCAAATAGATGCCACCTCTGAGTGTGAGAGAAAAAAATAAATACTACTGCATAGTTCAAACAAAAAAAAAAAAAGAAAAATAAAAAGACAGAGGGCACTCAAGAGACAACCTCACAAAAGCAAAAAAGAAGTTGCAAATCAAGTCAGACGCCTTATTGGCGCTGCTGGGAATCGAACCCAGGTCTGTTCGGGATTAAACCACAACGAACCGTACTGACCACTATACTACAGCACCTTGATTTGTTGAAAGATCGCTTTTTCTATGTACCTATAAAGCTACTAACTACTCCCATGGACGAAGGGCCCGTCAAATATCGGCAATGGTATTAGCCGTTGGCTGTGGGAATGGATTCTATTCCCCACAATCCTCGTCATTAGCATTGGGTACGCACTCTTCATCCCAGGTTAAGTGGGGAGGAGATATCGTTTCTTCTTATTAGATTTCACCGATTTCCCCTTTTGCGTCTATCTGACATCACTAAGCCCAATTCCTTTCCTGTGTTGTAGAGTGTAGAAAGAGTACTATTAGGATACTTGTATCCGATATCCCAAAGCACTCCGGAGATACGGCTTAATGCACCCCCGTCGATCAGCGGGGTATATCCGACAGAATTTCCCATCCCACCCACCAACCAACCCCCAGATTGCTAATCCACCATAATCTCAATGGCAATTCCCACCGGCAGATCCATCGGGGAGAACCTACACATTCCCCATGAAGGAACCAATTCCGCTTAAAGCATGCTTATTCAACTCTTATGCATCATCCGATCTGCCCAATGCGGGGTGTGATGATCCCCTCTTTTCTGGCAGTATATAGGAACCACAACCCGTAATTGACTTCTTCCTTTACTCTGGCCTTTTTCTACCCATTCCTAGTGATACATACATTTCAATCGTGAGGAATTGAAACCCAAAATGGATCCCTCACAGGTAAAAATCCCCCCCATGAAGGACCTTACGGTCGACAACATTACCGAAAATGTTATTCGCATTAATTCCCTGTGCGAGGATGAGCGCATGAAATATGTGCTCGAGCGACTGGTTTCTCATTTACATGATTTCGCCCGCGAAACGAGACTCAGTTCCCAGGAATGGATGACTGGGTTAATGTTCCTCACGGAGGTGGGGAAGATTTGTTCGGATGTGCGACAGGTAAGTAGTCACTTGCATTCTATTCCCCAAGTAACAAAACAAAATACGGAAATAAATGCAAGGATACTGACATGAGTTTTTTTTTTTTTTAAAAAAAAAAAAGGAATTCATCCTCCTCTCCGACATTCTCGGTCTCTCAATTCTCGTCGACTCAATCGACCACCCCAAACCCCCCGGCTCAACTGAAGGCACAGTCCTCGGCCCCTTCCACACGCACGAAGCCGAAGTGATGCCCAACGGCGACAGCATGTCCCACGATCCCAAAGGCGAGCCGCTCCTCGTCGTCTGCACGCTAAAAGATATGAATGGCAACCCCATCTCCGACGTGAAGATCGATATCTGGGAGACGGACTCCACGGGCCACTATGACGTGCAGTATGCGGAACGGGACGGTCCCGATGGCCGCTGTATCATGCGTAGTGATGATTCCGGCGTGTTTTGGTTTAAGGCGATTACGCCGGTGCCGTACCCGATTCCGCATGATGGGCCGGTCGGGAAGTTGTTGAAGAAGTTGCATCGGCATCCGTTTAGGCCGAGTCATATGCATTTCATGTTTGAGAAGGAGGGTTATGATCATTTGATTACGTATGTTTCTCTCTCTCTCTCTCTCTCTCTCTTCTATTTTCTATTTTTAGTGGTTTTTT